AGACTTGAGTCAATTCCACAACCGAAGCATCAAATGAAATTTAAAGTCCATGTATTGGGAAGCTTTAGTCGTAGGGTAACAACGCGTCTTCCGATTTCCGACGGGATTCTTAAGTCTGACATTTTCGTTGAATTTTTTTTAAGAAAAGACACGTCTGCCCTTTTATCAAATCTGTTTATCCCGATGGTCATCGTTTTCAACAAGACAACGACCCAAAGCATCGCTCCAAGCTTGCCAAAGGTTTCATGATTGACAATAACATTAAGTGGTGGGACTGCTGGCCTTCCGAATCTCCCGATATAAACCAAACTGAAATGGTATGGAATATGCTGAAACGCCGACTTCAAAGAAAACCCTTAAAACTAAAGATGACCTTCAGACAGCTCTACAAGAGTTTTGGACCAGAAACTTTACTATTGAGTACTGCAACCGCTTAACTAATCATTTATACAAAGTCGTCCCAGTAGTAATAGCATTAGAAAGACGTGCAACAGCCAATGTACCTTGTAAAATATTTCCAGAAAGGTATTTTGGTAAATCGATTCGATATTTCAAAACCAAGTTAGATTAACCAAGTTTCACCAGGAAGATCAAACACCTTCTACCGCACTGAGAAGACCAAGGACACCGAGAGATGCAGCAGAAAATATTTCATAACAGCATTTTGCAAGACTTCCAAAAGCATTCAAAAAGGTATCTTTAATTTGTTGTACATTCAAAGAGTTTAACTAATTATATCCGTTTCCTGATCAAATAATGACCTATACTGTTTGCGAATGATCTCTGAAACGTATACATTGTATATTTGTTGACCCTCCTTGTTCTTCAAGTACCGAAATAAAAAATTTCGAAATTTCGATATTAAGTGATAAATTATCTTTTTTTAGATTTCATAAAACTCTAAATTCGTTAAATGTTAGTGTCAAAATGCAGCTAAGACAATAACTATTAAACGAAAAAAAATATCGTAAGAAATAATACAATGCACACTGCCACAATGTGACAAAGTTAATGTAAACACGTATTTACGCTTTTCAGTTAGTTTTAAATTAAGATCGAGAATACTTCCTGCACACTATTTTACCAAGAGAAAAATCTCGGAAAAAAAATATTTAAAAAATTTTCATTATAAATTATTTAGCCAGTCGTAACCAAAATTCATGAAAGTGAACAGGAAAACCCAAAAAGTTTTAAAACACATGTACACACGTGTTTTTATCGTGTCAATCTTGACCACGCTTTCACCAGCAATACATTTAAATGTTCAATCGGGTTCTCTTACTGTTCGAATATTTTATTAAATAACCATCGTATCTTACAAACGAAAAAGTAGCTGTCAATATTCTACCTTTCATCAGCGTTGTCATTCGTGTATTTATTATTACAGTAAGATTTCACGTTTTGAGAATATATTTACATTACGTTTTCAAATATGAATAAAGACAGGAAAACAATGTGTTAAAATAGATAACTGAAAAACGAAAGCTAGTAAATCTACAAAATTGCAAGAACATATAATTTTCGACGAAATGTAGAAGTAATGGGAAAAGAAGGAAATGGAATTGATATTTGATTTGTATTCATAAAGAAAGATTAATAAAAAAACAATAATTATATAGTGTTTCTTCCTCGGAATTACCTGAGAAAAAAAAATTTCTTCTATTGGTAAATTAAACAATTTGAACTGAAACAGTCTGAAAACCGTTCATGCCTTTTAAATGTCCATTATGTAATTATTGCACCTGTTATCAGCTGATGATTTGATTGACAACAGGTAATCTAATCATCGACATTTAGGTCGCTGATGCTTGGCCTTTTTTAAAACCATTTTTCAGACCATGTCCCGGAATGTACTGTATATAAGATATATTTGACCGCATCAACAAAAACTGACCGTATTTTTATTTGCACTTTATTGTTTAAATCAATATAGCCGCATACAAAATCTTTATTTTTTTATATGTCAGGCCGGATTGTATAATACAATTACAGCAGTATTGGAATACTATGACTACACAATTTTGTCAGCACCAATTTAGAGTGTCACAATGTCCTCTTTTTATTCAAAGTATTGATGTGTCACCAAAAAAAAAATCAGTCATTCTACTAACTCAGGCTTAGAAATTACTGTTGCCTTTAACTCATAATGAATTGTATAATACAAATGACAGCAATATAGAACACAATAACTACAAAACTTTGTTCACATCAATTCATATGCACCTTTTTTCATAATAAATTGCAAATGTGGTCAGTTTTCGTTGATGCTGTCAAATATTTAAGTTAGATAAATGAATAAAGGCAAAAGTAGTATACAAATGACAGCAATATTGAAACACGATTACTACAAAAGTATACCCGCATCAGTTTAAAGTGCTAGCTTTTCCTCTTATCCAGCTTATTTAAAAGCTACTGATTTTAAGTGACGAGTTAATATTTTGAGTAAAAAGAGGACATCCTGGCACTCAAAACTGATGCGGATTTGTTAACTCATAATGGATTGTATAATACAAATGACAGCAATATAGAACACAATGACTACAAAACTTTGTCCACATCAATTTAGATGCACCTGAGATCATTCGAGTTTTAAGTCAGGTTCGTGTCGCTCAGTCTTTAGTTTTCTATTTGATGTATTGTGTTCTATTGTTTGTCTGTTGTCTTTTTCTTTTTTAGCCATCTCGATGTAAGTTTATTTTCGACTTATGAGTTTCAATGTCCTTCTGGTATATTACGCCTGTCTTTTAGAATGCAAGCATGTTCTCTTTCTATTCAAACTATTGTATCACCACAAATATCAGTAGATTTGATATCACAGACTGGTTCGTATATGAGCAATATTCGACCGCATCAACAACAACTGACCATATTTGCACTTCATTGTGTAAATTTGTATAGCGGCATGATAAATCATTTTTTTTTTTTGTTATGTCAGAACGAATTGTATAATACAAATTACAGAAACATTGGAATTCAATGACTACAAAATTTTGTCTGCATCAATTTAGTGTGCCACAATGTCCTCTTTATATTCTAAATATTGACGTATCACAAAAGAATCAGTCCTTCTAATAACTCTGGCTGTCTTGTATACTACTGTTGCCTTTATTGATTCATATAACTTAAATATTTAACAGCATCAACCGAAACTGACCAAATTTGCACTTAATTATGAACATTAATTTAGCCACATAATAAATTAGTATTTTTGAAATGTCAGGATGGATTGTATAATACAAATGACAGAAATATTGGAATACAATGACTACACAATTTTGTCCGGGTCAGTTTTGAGTGCCAGGATGTCCTCTTTTTATTTTAAAGTATAAACTCGTCACTTAACATCAGTAGTTTTAATACACCAAGCTGAATCGTATAACAAAATTATTTCATCGCATCAACCAAAACTGACCACATTTGCACTTTATTATGAAAATTGAATAGCCATACCATAAATCAGAAAATTTGTTAATTCAGGATGGATTGTATAATAAAAATGACAGCAATATAGAACACAATGACTACAATATTTTGTCAACATCAATTTAGAATGCCAGCATGTCTTTTTCTATTCAAAATTTTGATTAGTTACAAATAAATCAGTAGTTATGATACCTCAAGCTGGCTCGTATAACAAAACTCTGATCCGATGAACCAAAACTGACCAAATTTGCACATTATTATGACAATTAATATAGCCGCATAATAAATAAGTATTTTTGAAATGTCAGGATGTATTGTATAATACAAATGACAGCAATAGTTGCACACAATGACTGCGAAATTTTTTCCGCATCAGTTTAGAGTGCAGTTGTTCCTCTTTGTATTTAAAATATTAACTTGTCACTTAAAATCAGTAGTTTTGTTACCTCAAGCTGTGTCGTAAAACAAAAATCCGACCGCATCAACCAAAACTGACCATATTTGCACTTTATTATGAACATTAAACTATGTATTTATCAATAAAAGGTATGACATCTATGAGATGGTATCAACTGATTATATTCATTTTCGTTAGCACTTTATAAATCTTTAAATTTGTTAACTCAGGATGGATTGTATAATTCAAATGACAGCAATATAGAACACAATGACAAAAAACTTTGTCCACATCAATTAAGAGTGCAAGCATGTCCTTTTTTATTTAAAACATTGGCTCGTTACAAACAATCGGTAGTTCTGCTACCCGAGGCTGGCTTGTACAGCAGAAATTTGACCGGATCAACAAAATCTGACCAAAGTTGCACATTATTTTGAAAACTAATATAGCCGCATAATAAATCAGTATTTGTTTAAAATGTCAGGATGGATTGTATAATACAAATGACAGCAATATTGGAACACAATAACTACAAAATTTTGTCTGCATCAGTTTAGAGTGCCAGTTTTTCCTCTTTTTTTCTAAAGTATTAACTCGTCACTTGAAATCATTAGTTTTTGTACCACAAGCTGGCTCGTATAGCAAACTTATTTGACCGCATCAACCAGCAAGAATGATTGTATAATACAAATGACAGCAATATTTGAACACAATGGCTACAAAATTTTGTATGTTCTCTTTTTATTTGAAATATTGTTGTGAAATTTCAGGCTGGCTCGTTATATTATGGCTTATCATATGTTAAGTAAACAATACATATTGTTGTATCAAGGAACTTGACTAAAACATTCCGTGAATTTGAATTTCTGCAATTTATCAATAGTGACGGACCATTTAGCCCCAGGTTTGCTCTATTTTCACGCAGAATCATGATATATCTCTAAACAGATTTTAATGTTGCAAATCTTATTGATTTATCTTTATTAAAAATTAAAAAGAAATCGAGTTAAATTATTGTAACAGTGAACGTTTTCAACATAAAATATCTCCAATACATTTGAAGTCATCGTGGATTATAATTCTGCATAGCACTTTACCTGACGTAAATAATCATTGTCCAGGTAGTTTTATTTATCGACATGTGTTTCTTGACCATTATAGTGTATACAAAATATATGCAATGATGAAAGTTGTATGTTTAATGATATGTGTCATGAGACTTTGGAAATGTGCGTTTAGGGACGTTTTCAGTGAACATTTTGTTGAAACGTTATCATCCGGTTTATTAGTTTTCATTATTTATTTTAGTATTAGAAAATCTGCTGTTTTAAGTATAATACGAAGGATATTCAGATTAATTTCACATGATTGCAGGTTATTCAAAGAAGAATAGACGGAACAACAGATTTTGACAGAAATTGGGTTGAATATAGAGATGGATTTGGTGATCCACAGAAGGAATACTGGCTTGGTAAGTACCATTTAGTTAATTGTATCTTGACAATATTGATACGAGTCATATTTTCTCATATCTATTCCTTTAACATTCTTTAAAAAGTGATCGACAAGTTTATATTGTAGAATGTTTTCTATTGATACGTTTTCCCAATACATGTACTCAGCGAACTACCAATTTAATAACCAGTATTGCACAACTAAATAACAGAATAGCAAAACGCATTTGAATCATAAGTTACATTCCTTTCTTCTAGTTTATCGAAAACTTAATTGCAATGATAACGAGATGTTTTAAATCTGGAAAGAAAATTGAAACATTAAAAACCCATAAACACTTAAACATGTTAAAATAGATAGAAAAGCCTCAACATAAACTTGATAAACATATCACATGTGCATCGGTACATAGGAAAAATTGCAACATATGTTTTCATATGTTTAACATATGTTTTTCATATGTTTGAAAACATATGTAAACATATGTTAATGCCCGACATGAAAACATATGTTTTCGAACATATGAAAAACATATGGAAAACATATGAAAAACATATGTTTTTAAAATCATATGAATGTTTTTCATACATGTAAACATATGAAAAACATATGTTTTTCATATGTTTTTTACAAACATGTTTTCATATGTTTTCATACCTGGCCTAAACATATGTTTTCATATGTTTGTCCTAAACATATGTTTTCATATGTTTGGCCCAAACATATGTTTTCATATGATTTTATCTTGATCCTAAATATATATTTTTTATATGTTTTTAATTGTTCAAATGCATTTATTTTTTCATAGATTCTAAACATGGTTTGTATATATGTGTATTTTTTTTTTTGCGATAGGTTTTTAAGGGTAACGTTTTTCTTAATTTGTTATCTTTTTTTTCTGACAGGAACTCATTTTGAGTGTGAATACTTCATTATGATGAGTTGTTGCTTTAAAAAGTAAAAAACCCAAAATACCAAATTCCACAGAAAATACATAGCAAAATCAAAAGCTCAAACAAATAAAAAACAATAAGTGCTCCATAATGTTTATATAAAGTAGAATTTTTTTTATTAAGTTGTTGTCTCTTCTATTTTCATATTTTTGTCTCCTTGACATACATTGTACCACATTTCTATTGTCTATATTCTATTTTCATTTGTTTGTCTCTTCGACATACCCCATTTCTATTGTCTATATTCTATTTTCATATGTGTGTCTCTTTGACATACCCCATTTCTTTTGTCTATATTCTATTTTCATGTTTGTCTCTTTGACATACCCCAATTTTATTGTCTATATTCTATTTTCATATGTGTGTCTCTTTGACATACTCCATTTCTATTGTCTATATTCTATTTTCATATTTTTGTCTCTTTGACATACTCCATTTCTATTGTCTATATTCTATTTTCCTATGATGTATGTGATATTTCTATTGCTATACCTCCATACACAGATATTTAATTGTCTTCACTGCTGTATATTACTGGTGCATGTGTATGCAGCTGCTTTTTGTAAATATCCTGTATGATTAAGAAAGACAACTACATGTAGATTGACTTTGAGCTCAATATTGTATTAATTAAAAATGAATGTTCTTTGGTTCTGTTTCTTTATTTTTCAGTTCCTGCAAGTAGAAATAAAAGAACAAAGTTTCAATGTCCACCTAGTCGCAAATTTTTAGCTCACATGGCCCCAAGGTACGTCGTCGTCCATCGTCGTCGTTAACTTTTTACATTTTTGACTTCTTCTTGAGAACCACTGAATGGAATGGAACCAAATATGGCATGAATGTTCCTCATGAGGTGCTGACCAAGTGTTGTTACTTTGTAGCCGATCCATGATCCAAGACGGCCACCAGCGGGGGGCTTAGTTTAACAAAGGACCCTACGGGAAATACATACAAATGTCTTCTTTTAGAGAACCACTGAATGGAATGAAAGCAAACATAGCAATATTAATCCAAATTTGGCCTCAAACATTATTATAAGTATCTGTTATGATTTTTATCTTTTTTTATATGATTTCAAAAACCCAAGTAGTCAGGTGAGCGACACAGGCTCTTGAGAGCCTCTAGTTTATCTATCAAGGGGCAATATTAACATGATTAAAAAAAAACAACATGTTTTTTTGTTCTCAAAAATATTTATAAATAAAAAATGTGCTTGAGGCAAAAAAAAAGTTGTTTTTCTTGTATACTAAATATTTCAAACTGACCTTCAAGGGCATTACTATAATAGTATACTATAAGTTTAATAAAAAATTTTTTAGAGCATTTACCAGGCCATTTTCCATAAATTTATTACATGTATTTCCAAGAGGCATAACTCTTTTGAAAAAATTCAATCGGCCATCATTACAACTGCCAGTTGGACATCTACACCTTACAATAATTCCTTACACCAAATATAGTAAGTATAACTTATTGCTTATAATACCTCAGATATTGACTTGACCACGATAACTTTCTGACAGAGTAGACAGACACTAGCTATAGGACCTTGCAAGGTACCCACATACTAAGTAAATAGAAATATCCTATTACCAGGATAACTATAAATAATATTAATAAGAGAGAAATTAACATTACAAAAATACTTTTACCACAGACTGAACCTATATTTTAGGACAGCGACGCCACCCCTGGCAGAATCTAGGATCACTGTCTCGCTTTCGTGAAATAAATTTGCAAGCTTGACAAAAAGCAGAACATGTATTTCAGAAATAGAAATTCTATGCAATTATTAATACTTATATGCTGTTATGGTCCTACATATTCTTGTGAGTTCAATATTTTGGCATTACACAAAGTCATGCTTTCTTAGACTGTTTGAAATGACAATTGTTTTGTTGTAACATTAATTGATTAAATCTGTCGAAGGTGAATTGATAGATATTTTAGTTTGGGAAAACATAATGTTTGCATCTTTTATTATTTTGTTATTTCTTTTTAAGTGCTTGTTGATGAGTCCAGCCCTTTCTGGCTGATTTTGACATGTGTTTCTTATGTTGGGTGCTGTCTGCCATACTGTGTCACAGTGTGTAGTTTTATTTTTTTCATTGGTTCACATTTTTTCATCCTTATACAAGTTATAGCCATAACAGGTTACTTTATGGTATGGATTTTGATCATTGTTTATGGCTGTACAGTGACCAGGAAATGTTTACATCTTCGTCCTTTGGTTTTTTTATTGATAGTTGAGAATCATACATGTACCTCATCTCCTTATACATGTTAAACATGTTATATTTATATGCTGGTTCATAAAAAATCTTAAAAGGAAATTATTCAATTGTTATATGTTTGAAAACTCTCTCCTATAATGCAAAAACAATAATTGATTGACTTTTCTAGCTTAATTTAAGATTCAGTGGCAAATATTTTATGTATATTCAAGACAAGAACAACTTTTAAATATACAATTCATAATATAAGCAAATGCTATAATTATTTTAACTTCTGACCATCTTATGCGTTTGTGTGTGTGGAGCAGAAGGATTCCTTGATAAAATTGAGAATGGAAATGGGGAATGTGTCAAAGAGACAACAACCCGACCATAGAGCAGACAACAGCCGAAGGCCCCCAAATTGATGCATACTTGACATCAGAAAGACAGAAATAAACAACAGTATACATGGTATACACGCTGTAACATGTACAATTACACTTGAAAAAGTTTTAAATAGATAACATTAAATTATTTAAATTAACTGCAATTCAACAGATGAACTTACTTTGATACCAGTTCTTTTTGCCTGACATCCGCACCTACATGTACACCAGTGATTATAATACTGTACTTTCCTTTCATTTGGTAACCATGGTAACAAGCTAAAATTGCAAATCTTAATTTAATCCAGAAGTCCAGACAAAAACAAGATCATTTTTGTAGATGTAGTATGAACTGATGCTCACTAATTTATATTTTTACTTTTGAGTGAATGGAAACAAATATGCAACAAACAACAAAAAGATCAACAGTGTAGCTAATATTATTAATATATGTATAGTCTAAGCCCGTCTTAGTATAGTATGAACTTTTTCTAATATAAAATGATCTATTCTGCTGTCTAGTTTAAAATAAAATGCTCCCCAGGGCGCAGCTTGATACGACCGCAGAGGTCGAACCCCAAACAGATGGGGCAAGTATTGACACAATATTCAAGCTTGGTACAGCTCTGAATTTGGTTTGTGATTAAATATTTGACACAGCATACATGGCATAGGTTTCTGACACAAAATCAATGTGGTCTAAGAACTTAAAAATTTTAAATTAGACATTTACCTATTATGGTTCAATATCCTAAATCTAAATACATGGTTAGGTTCAGCATATAAAAGAACCCCAAGAATTCAATTTTTTTATGAAATCAAACAAAGTTTAATTAATGGACCCTTTTGACCTCAATGTGGACCAATTTGATAACAGAGCCCAAAATCAAAAATCTAAATACAAGGTTAGATTCGGCATATCAAAGAACCCCAATAATTCAATTTTTTATGAAATCAAACAAAGTTTTATTTTGGACCCTATGGACCTCAATGTAGACCAATTTAAAAACGGGGCCCAAAATCCAAAAACTTAATACATGGTTAGATTCAGCATATTAAAGAACCCCAAGAATTCAAGAATAAACCCCATTGATTTGGTCAAGAAATAAGCAATTTATACAAAGTATTAGAAAAGTATTGTTATTAGCCCCTAATTCCTAAACAGTTAGAATCACAACCCCCAAATTCAATTCCAACCTTCCTTTTTTGGTATGGAACCTTGTGGTACAATTTCAGAAAGATCCATACACTTACACACAAGTTATATTGTCTGGAAAAATGCTTATTTTGACCCCTTTTTAGGCACTTAATTCCTAAACTGTTAGGACCATAACCCCCAAAATCAATTCCAACCTTCCTTTTGTGGTTTCAAACCTTGTGTTTAAATTTCATAGACATCCATTCACTGAAACTAAAGTTATTGTCCGGAAACTAAGTGTCTTCGGACGACGCGGACAACAA